GAGAAGGGACTTTGTAACACACCACCAGCATGGGTTCAGGGATGGCAAATCGTGCCTCACAGGTTTAAAATAATTCTATGACAAAGCGACAAGCATTAAGTAAGAAAGAGCAGGATGAGCAGACTGCATTTTCTTGTACTATCAGAAAACATTTGATAAAGTACGCCATACGAGGCTGTTGCATAAGTTGGAGAAAGAGGCAGAAGTAACTGGTGGATAAGGGAGACCCAAACAACAAGTCCCAAATTCTCAAGTGGACAAGGGATTCCCAAACAACAGGAGGCAGAGAGTTACTGTGAGGGGGAGAGACATCAGAATGGCGTGATGTCACCAGCGGAATCCCACAGCAAACAAGGGGACACAGGTAGAAACTTAGTACCCAAATGAGCCAAAGAGACATTAGAAAGAACTTTATCAGTGTAAGGGTAGTTTACAAATGGAATGCATTAGGCAGTGATGTGGTGGAAGCTGACTCCATACACAGTTTTAAAAGTCGATATGATAGAGCCAAATAGGCTCAGGAACCTGTACACCAGTTTATTCACAATTGAGAGGCGGGTCCAAAGAGAAAAAGCTCAATCCACGCAAGCACAACTAGGTGAGTACATACACTAACTATATTTGTATGCACTCTTTCCTTGAGTACATTCACAAGCCCCTCCCACATCCGGCACTACCACACACCCCAGCCGGCACCACCACACCCTCACACCCACCACACACAGCCGGCCCCACCACCACCACACACACAGCCGGCCCCACCACCACCACACACACAGCCGGCACCACCACCACACACCCGGTACCCCCCCCCCCTCCCCCAGCCGTCGGCAAGACAATATACGTGACCAACCACTCCACCGTCCCGTCCTTAATGGCCAGCACCGCCGCCTTCCTCCGTTTTCTCTCTCAAGTACGATAATGGATCCATGTGAGCTCGTCGCTTTACTTACTAAAGACCCTCCAGCCTCGAGCACTGCCATATTGGCATCATTAGCAACTCTCTCTTTAATATATCCAAACTCATCGGGAGACGCCGGCCGCCATTTTCTTTGTTTACGTTCTGGCTTCGCCCAAGTTTAGGGGGTAATGAACCTAAAATATTTAAGACTTGAGTTAGGATTCCAGCAATTATTTTAATTATTGAAAACGGTTTGGGTACGAGCCCATCCCATTAAAATTTTACAGCGACGTAAGTTCATTATACATAAACTATTGTGTTACACCGGTTTCCAAAACAGTATCTTTTTTTTTCAGCTGGCATTTTAGAAAATATTAATTGGCCTTTTTTATGCGGTAATTGAAGGTAAAAGATCTACGGGAGGTAAATTTACACATTTAGTCGCTGTAATTCGCGAAATTGTTTCGGATTTTCAGACAATGGGTTTGGCGAGTTAAACTATTTGTCTGTGGGGGAAGTTGAATGGTGGTGTAGCTTACGTTTGTTTGTTTGTTGGGCTGTTTATCTGCTTGTTTGGTAACTTAGAAGTAACTAATATAACTATTAGAGAAATAATAAATATAATCAAATCAATAAAAGTAAAATGAGTAAAAGCTATCTGGGTGTTTTTGCCCCGTCAGTCTGTCTCTATCACTTTTCTTAGTGTGATAGATACTGCCTCTATCTATCTGTCTCCGTATCTATCACTAGGTGATAGATACGGAGACAGATAGATACGATATATATATATATATATATATATATATATATATATATATATATATATATATATATATATATATATATATATATAGTCACATATATATATATGTGAGGGGGTGACGACCGTCCGAAGCGTCCATGTATAGTATCATCCACACATGTGTATTTCGAGAGTATACATGTTCCAAACCCGTTCCAGTGACCTACAGCACCTCAGCACACCTGTGTATTAACACGTCAAGATATACCAGGACACGTCAAAACGCGTTAAAACGCATTGAAGCTTTAAGTGCATGACAAAAGATATCAAGCTTGATAATACGTGACAACACGTTGCAACACGTCACAAGAAACGCCACGTAATTAACAAGTCAAGGAACATCAACATGTTATAACACCACAAAAACACGTCAAAAGCTTATAACAAAACACGTCAAAAGACGTAAAACAACATGCCATGGAACGTTATAAGCCTGGAAACACAAACCGTAACTGTCTCTATTTTCCGCTTGTTACAACTTGTAATAAAGGTGTAACATCTTGGCTTAACGTGTTTATGACGTATTAGAACGTTGTTACAACTTGCTATATTGGTTGTTATAACTGGTTAGGAGGTGTTAAAACTTGTCCGAACGTTGTACCAACGTCGTAGTTTCGGTGTGTGTTTGGCGGGAAACGCCATAGAACGTCAAAAAATTGTCAAATACACGTTAAAAACACGTCATAGCACGTTTCAACACTTAACCATTTGCCTGTGACTAACCTTGCTGGAGAAGAGCAGCTAGGAGGCAGAAGAGAGCTAGGGCAGCCTCCCAGCACACGGTGTCCGCCATCATGGAGACCTAGGAGACCTAGGACCCAACTCGGCCTCCTCAGGTGATCTTCCTCCCTCTCCCAGCGGTCGTTGTTGCTTTTGATTTAGCTACTCAGAAGGAAGTGTCCATGTAGCACGGGCTATGGCGAGCCCGTAAAGCTCCAGCGGTCAATTCTTCATTCTTTTATCACGTGGTAAGGTCACGTGATGCTGAGCGTTTCTCCTGCCTTATTCTTCTCTCCAGGAGATGAAAGATGAACTTAGATCAGTTTATTTACGCTTTGGAGAAACCTATTTTTTTCCAGGACAAAATTTCCAAAATAGGCCAACGGCCTATATTTTTTTCCTTTCGAAAGTTCTAAACTGCTATCTATATCCTTATTTTTTTCCAGGACGATTTAATAAGGCATTTTGCGCGTAATAATATTTAATAATATTTTCTATTTGTGTGATTTTGTAGTGAGTCACATTGCTTTTCACAGGACGCACTGGGATATTTCAAAGCATTTTGCTGGAAATCTTCAAATATTTCGTTCATCCAATACGTATTTTCCAGGGCACAGCTAATTAAAATATATTTAGCTGCTTTTATTTTGGTTCTAAAAATAAATTATGTTGAACCCTTTACAGGCAAGACTTGAGTGTTTTATTAATTTATTTTCAATAAAACAAATATATTATTTTCTGTAGAAAGTAGTAAAGATTATTTTCAATGCCACATGAAATACTCGTCTCTAAATATTAATAATGTTATATTTCCAAAACCACCGTGAATAATATTTTTCGAGAATATAGATACTGTATTTTTTTTGCTGAATATCCTGACCGGTCACAGATATATTTCCCTCAGGCGGATATTATTTGACACGATTGTCACTCACTCTCCGACCACTGTGTTCCTTCAAGTGTAGTGTAGCTTATGTGTGGTAGTACTATGTCTGGGGCAGCTGAGGATGGTGCGGCCCCAATACTGGATTATCAGAGCTTTGGTAATATGTTACTCTCTCTCTGTCTCTGTCTCTATCTCTCTCTCTGTCTGTCTGTCTGTGTCTCTGTCTCTCTCTCTCTGTCTCTCTCTCTCTCTCTCTCTCTGTCTCTTTCTGTCTCTCTCTGTCTCTCTCTGTCTCTCTCTGTCTGTCTGTCTCTCTCTCTCTCTCTCTCTCTCTCTCTCTCTCTCTCTCTCTCTCTCTCTCTCTCTCTCTCTCTCTCTCTCTCTCTCTCTCTTCTCTCTCTCTCTCCTCACTCTCTCTCTCTCTCTCTCTCTCTCTCTCTCTCTCTCTTCTCTCTCTCTCTCTCTCTCTCTCTCACACACACACACACACATTAAAAAAGTTCTAAAATGTAAGACAACAAAAGTTCTAATTGGGATCAAAGGGCAGCTGACCATGTGTCCACAACCATTCCACCATCAACCATCAACCACCAACCCAGCATCAACCCCAACCCACCATCAACCACCATCAACCACAACCCACCACCAACCCACAAACAACAAAAACATCTGCCCACGGCCGCTATGACAAAGAATCGAACAAAAAAAACACACAAAAAAGATGATAATTTCATTGTTAAACTTTTCGAAAACTCTTTGAAACATGAACATTTTTTTGTTTGCGTTTTCTCCTCTCGCCGAAGTTCGGGAAGGAATTTATGAAAACTTTCCTATTTTTATATATATATATTTATTTTAATGACTGAAGTTTTGCACCAGGAATTTCTTTATAGGTTCCTGTCACGCTGTATTTGTTTACTTTTATTGTTTATACTTTTAGAGATGTGTGTTTGTTGATGATTAGTGCGTTAATTGTGTGTGTTTGTTTCTGAGCTGAGAGGGTGGCGGGGGGGGGGAGGAGCTGAGAAGACAGAGCTGTGAGAGGACAGCAACTGAGACGGGAGAGACTGAAAGGGCAAGAGCTTTGAGAGCAAGAGCTGCGGGGGGGGGGGTCAGCTGAGTGGACAGGAGCTGAGAGGACAGGAGCTGAGTGGACAGGAGCTGAGAGGACAGGAGCTGAGTGGACAGGGGCTGAGTGGACAGGAGCTGAGTGGACAGGAGCTGAGAGGGAAGGAGCTGAGAGGACAGGAGCTGAGAGGACAGGAGGTGAGAGGACAGGAGCTGAGTGGACAGAAGCTGAGTGGACAGGAGCTGAGAGGACAGGAGCTGAGTGGACAGGAGCTGAGTGGACAGGAGCTGAGAGGGAAGGAGCTGAGAGGACAGGAGCTGAGAGGACAGGAGCTGAGAGGACAGGAGCTGAGTGGACAGAAGCTGAGTGGACAGGAGCTGAGAGGACAGGAGCTGAGGGGACAGGAACTGAGAGGACAGGAGCTGAGAGGGAAGGAGCTGAGAGGACAGGAGCTGAGAGGACAGGAGCTGAGAGGACAGGAGCTGAGGGGACAGGAGCTGAGTGGACAGGAGCTGAGAGGACAGGAGCTGAGAGGACAGGAGCTGAGTGGACAGGAGCTGAGTGGACAGGAGCTGAGAGGGAAGGAGCTGAGAGGACAGGAGGTGAGAGGACAGGAGGTGAGAGGACAGGTGAGAGGACAGGAGGTGAGAGGACAGGTGAGAGGACAGGAGGTGAGAGGACAGGAGCTGAGTGGACAGAAGCTGAGTGGACAGGAGCTGAGAGGACAGGAGCTGAGAGGACAGGAGCTGAGAGGACAGGAGCTGAGTGGACAGTAGCTGAGTGGACAGGAGCTGAGAGGGAAGGAGCTGAGAGGACAGGAGGTGAGAGGACAGGAGGTGAGAGGACAGGAGGTGAGAGGACAGGAGCTGAGTGGACAGGAGCTGAGAGGACAGGAGCTGAGAGGACAGGAGCTGAGGGGACAGGAACTGAGAGGACAGGAGCTGAGAGGGAAGGAGCTGAGAGGACAGGAGCTGAGTGGACAGAAACTGAGGGGACAGGAACTGAGGGGACAGGAACTGAGGGGACAGGAGCTGAGTGAACAGGAGCTGAGAGGACAGGAGCTGAGATGACAGGAGCTGAGAGGACAGGAGCTGAGAGGACAGGAGCTGAGATGATAGGAGCTGAGAGGACAGGAGCTGAGAGGACAGGAGCTGAGTGGGAAGAAGCACAATAGAGCAAGGGTCTGTAACCATGGAAATAATCCCGTCTACTCTAAATTGGTTCACTGGTCTTTTAATTTTTAACATGTATTACCCTTAAATAGCAACTTTGGATTCAGTAACTATTTCACACATCATATATATATATATATATATATATATATATATATATATATATATATATATATATATATATATATATATATATATATGAGAGAGAGAGAGAGAGAGAGAGAGAGAGAGAGAGAGAGAGAGAGAGAGAGAGAGAGAGAGAGAAGTGAACACTCATACGTATTCAGAGTTAAATGGCAAGTCTTTCTCTGAATGCTCTGTGTTCCCTTTTTCGACCCAATGGGTCCCTACACTTGCACCAGAGGTGGTACCCCTTTATATATATATATATATATATATATATATATATATATATATATATATATATATATATATATATATATATATATATATATATATATATATCCCTCTCCTTTTCTCCTTAGATATCAAAGAGGTCACTGATAGTGTGACAAGCGAGCTAAACATCTGGTACCTGGATGATGGCACTCTCGCCGGCACCCCGGATACCATTTTGGAGGATATAAGGAAAATCCAGGAGCAGGGAGCAGCCTTAGGCCACATTCTCAATGCATCCAAATGTGAAATAGTCTCCCGCAACCCAGACATCACTGGTCAAATAAAAAAATGTTCTTCTAGACATTCTGGTTGTCGAGCCACCTGACTGCACTCTCCTGGGTGCCCCCATTGGCCCGCAAGCAATCGAAGAGGTCCTGGATGACCTAAGGAGAATGCTGGACAGGATTGACAAGAGTGATGCCCATAATGCTCTCTTCCTCCTCACAAGATGCCTATCTCTCCCTAAGTTGACTTTCCGAGGTGTTCTCCATGCTACAGCAAACCTAAATTAAATGAGTATGACACCTTTCTGAGGTTCATGTTGGAGAAAGTCCTGTACCTCCCGTTGGACGACTCTCAATGGGAACAAACAACGCTCCCTGTAAGACTCGGCGGCCTTGATGTCCGCACAGCTTCCCAGATTGCTCAACCAGCCTTCCTTTCCTTTTCCCATGCATCGTACGACCTCGTAACAGATATCCTTCCAGAAACCCTGTGTAGGAATACACGATCCTGCTTTCTCTGAATGATCAAATCAATGGGATGCTCTAGCAGCCCCAGCACCCAACAGCTCCAACAAAAACACACAAACAGTCCAGCTGGGACCACCCACTGCACTGCAATATCAGATAAGGAGAATGCCCGCCTCAAAGCAGTGATTGCTCCCCATGCAGGGGACTTCCTCCTGGCAGTGCCCATGTCGGCAACAGGCACGCGTCTAGAACCAGACTCCCTCCGTGTAGCAGTGGCCCTCCGCCTTGGTGCCCCAATTCACACTGAATACAAGTCTATTTGCAACAGGGTGGAAGCAGACCAATATGGGTTGCACTGCGGAAGCTCCAATGGCTGGCATGTAAGACACAACAAGATTAATGACATCATCAAGCTGAGCTGAGCCTTGCTTCAGCTCAGTGCCCAGCGGAGAGAGAACCCCGCATCCTAGAGGACCAAAACCAAGATGACCCCGCACCTCGCCCAAACGGCATCACAATATACCCCTGGAAGAGAGGCTGACAGCTGGTGTGAGACTACACATGTGTATCCACCCTGGCTGACACTTACATATAAGTGGGTGAGTGAGTGATTTGGGTGAGGTGGATGAGGTTTTCACCTCATCCACTTCACCCAAATGTAGATATAAAATCGAAGATGTGTAAGCTCTATTCAGTTTCAGTTGTGTGTTTGTAAACTAAATTCTTTGAAAATGTAATAAGTTTTACGAAACGCGCTCAAGTGTCGCGTCAGACTAGAAATAAAAATGAATTTTGGAGAATTGATCTTTGAATTACCATCAACAGTGAAAAGAAACGTAAGAAAGATCGAGAAAATTCGTGTTAGAATTATTAATCTTACTTTTTCGGTCATATTTAATAATATATATATATATATATATATATATATATATATATATATATATATATATATATATATATATATATATATATATATGTATATATATATATTCACAAGGAATCTGACATCTCCGCCTGTTAGTGTTATAAATGCCAAATTAACATAGAACCAAGAGCTTATAATCTTTCCTGTAATGGCCACAAATTGTCCAATAATAATTAAACAATTTTCGAAGTGGATCGTTAGCGGTGAATCTAACGGCCTCTCTCTCTCTCTCTCTCTCTCTCTCTCTCTCTCTCTCTCTCTCTCTCTCTCTCTCTCTCTCTCTCTCTCTCTCTCTCTCTCTCTCTCTCTCTCTCTCTCTCTCTCTCTCTCTCAACGAAACTAACGATGCGACGCTCAACGATAAGTATATTATGATGCTCGCCTCATGGCAACACTGGCTCTTCAAACCCCCCCCCCCCCCCCCACCCAACGGTTATAGACGAAAATGAGGAAAATAGACCTTATGTGGCCATTCATTAAGGGCTGTAATGTGAGCGATGGAACACATAAATATTGTCTGTTATGCCTCTTTCACAGATACTCCCACATGTGCGGTAATTTGCCTTAAACACACACACACGCACCCCCCGCAGCACACACACACACACACACATACACACAAACGCACACTCTACAAGGTATCAAAATGGACGCAAACATGCTTTTTATCTTCATGTGAACAATGTTTTTTATGCTAGAAACAGGATGGGGAGAGAGGGAGAGAGAGAGAGAGAGAGAGAGAGAGAGAGAGAGAGAGAGAGAGAGAGAGAGAGAGAGAGAGAGAGAGAGAGAGAGAGAGAGAGAGAGAGAGAGAAAGGGAGGGGTACCACTCGCCCCGATTCGGAAGCGATTTCGTCTGAGTTCGAGTCTAGGCTGGAGATGAGTGACTGGACCCCAATCCTGAACTTTTAGCCCCTATTCATCCAGCAGTAACTGGGGACCTGGTTGTTAACCGATTGGCGGGTCGTTTTCCAGGGAAAAACTAGTAGAGTAAGGCTTACTAATTTACATTATCAAATTTGTATATAATCGTAGCCAGACACCTAATCCTTAATTACCCACTTCCTCACAAGCAGCTTGTGAGATTAGGGATTAAGAGATTTGGGATTAGGGAGAATCCCCAGAAAGCTAATTTATGCCTATTTTGCCACTCTGTTAGTTTATTTGGAGACCGTGTGCGTGTGTGCGTGCGCGCGTTCACCAACTTTCCTGCAGGGGTTAAGTTTCAGCTCCTGAGCCCTGCCTTCTCTGTTATCAGCTAACTCTTACCCCAAACCGGACTTCATGACTTCAGATCCTTTAGTTACTTATCGTGAGCATCGCTTCTATCGTCTCCGTATGCCCCTGTTACCTAGCAATAAAATAGGTACCTGTGTGTTAGTCAGCTGTCACGGGCTGCTTCCTGGGGGTGGAGGCCTGGTCGAGGACCGGGCCGCGGGGACACTAAAAAGCCCCGAAATCATCTCAAGATAACCTCCCTAATCTATCGCATCTATCGTGTTGTCTTGATCATTGAAATGGTGAATAGGAGACGGCAAACCTTGTGAAGGAAGAGGTCATCTGAGTATAGCAGTCATTACCCAGGACTATCATAGTCACTATATTACTCTAACTACTACAACCATTACACCATCTACTACTATTATTACTACTACTGTTGTTACTGTCAACATCTTCACCTTTATTCTTCTTCACACACAAAGACAGAAGAGTAAGGGGGAGACATGATAACCACTTACAAAATTCTCAAGGGAATTGACAGGGTGGACAAAGACAGACTCTTTAGCACAGGTGGAACACGAACAAGGGGACACAGGTGGAAACTGAGTGCCCAAATGAGCCACAGGGACGTTAGAAAGAACGTTTTCAGTATCAGAGTAGTTAACAGATGGAATGCATTAGGCAGTGATGTGGTGGAGGCTGACTCCATACACAGTTTCAAATGTAGATATGATAGAGCCCAGTAGGCTCAGGAATCTGTACACCAGTTGATTGACAGTTGAGAGGCGGGACCAAAGAGCCGAAGCTCAACCACCGCAAGAGATAAAGAAGCCATGGCTTAACAGGAAATGTTTGAAGAAATAAAGGAGAAGCAAAAGAGCATGAAAAAAATAGAGTACATAAAGGACTCTATTTCACAGGGTGTTTACAGAGAGCGAGGAACAAGTACACAGGAACTAAGAGAGCGGAGGAGCCATGAGACAAGGCGAAGTGTGCCATAGCCCAACCCGTTCTCGCAAATTTAATAAGTCAATATTGACTTATTAGTTGCGTGCATAGGTGACATACTAAACATAATAGTTTCCCTTGAAAAGCTTCATAGAAAACACCGACCTTACCTAACCTACTTAGTATGTTAAAATAAGCATCTTATAGCTTCGTAATTACAATTGTTACTTAACCTATTATAGGTATAGGTTAGGTAATAATTGTAATTACGA